GTGTGTGTGTGTGTGTGTGTGTGTGTGTGTGTGTGTGTGTGTGTGTGTATGTGATACCTAGGGAAAACAGCACATATTCAAGATATGGGTATCTAGGTGTATCCACAATGTCCTCCTATCTGATTCTGTGGATTTCTAAGTAACCCTGTTCAAAAGATGTGCGCCAGAGAGACGGCTAAATGAATACAGGTGCCGACCACACAAGCGTGTCAGCCTGAGTTAGAACCCAGGAACCCACATAAAGGTGGAAACGAAGATCTTACTCCACGGAACTGTCTTCAACCCCTCTCCTGACTTGTGGCGGCACATCTGCCATCTCCCATCTCTCTCACACGCATAAGCATAATAAGCAGAAAAAAATGTAAAAGATGAATTTATAAAAAGGTTTAAAGATGAAGCAAAATTTAAAAATTGTAGGAGCTAGAGAAATGGCCGCATATCTAAGAGCACATACTGGCTTTGAAAGCACCCAAGTTTGATTCTCAGCCCCCAGGAAAGGTAGGACACAAGAGCCTGGGACTCCAGCTCCAGGGACCAGATGCCTCTGGACTTCACGGGCACAGCGCTGCAGTGAGCACATAACTCTAACTCAGACACATAATAAATATAAAACGGTTTTCTTATTTTTCTTATCTTAAACAATTTCCTTTTGCAAACGAATCTGTAATGCTATTTCACAATGCATATTGTATAAATTTGGGATGAGAAGAGTACTAATTTGGTGAAACTCCTAAACTCCATCTTCCTGCCACAAATAGCTGGAGCTAGTGAGGTGCATGCAAACATCCAGCTAATTAGATACAGAAGAACAAATTGCCATAGGCAAAATGTAAGTGAGATATGAAAGACGCCCTCATAGGGACCATTAATAAGACAAATAAACAGAATTTATTTTCTCCTCACGATTTCTGTAGGAAACAGAAAACCACACATCATTCATCACATTGCATGACAGAAATAAACTAATGGTTTATATGGGTTTGATTCTGATATAATTTTGTTGCTATTGTATTTGTTCATTTGTTTTGTTTTGAGACAGGGACTTGTGTAGCCCATCAGGTCTTAAACTCCATAAACTCACTTAGTATGGCCTTGGATTTCTGATCCTCCTGCCTCTACCTTCTAAGAACTAAGATTACAGGTGTGTGCCACCATGCCAAGCTTATGTGACAAAAGTTTTAAATTAACTGCCTTTAAAGTATGAGGTAACGGTGAGTTGGACTATAAGCTTTCTTGGGAAGAATTGCTTTTATGATTATCAAATGTTGCAGAACGTTAGGAACCTAATTTGGAAACTATATGTTTTGGGCTTTGGGTGAAAAGTCTGCAGAGTCTGCAGAAACCCTAAAAGAAGCGAGCAAACATTTTGTAGCAGGGTCCTTCTGGCTTCCCTTCTACAGCTGACACCATCAAAGGTGGAAACAAGTGACAGGAAGTGCCATGTGTCCAGCGCAGTTGTTTTTTTTTTTTTGTTGTTGTTGTTGTTTTGTTTTGTTTTGTTTTGTTTTGTGAATGGAGAAGGGCCCAGAGATGTCAGCAGTCAGTATCTCTGTCCTTCTCTGGCTGTGTGCAGAATGGAAGGTACAGGTGTCAGAGGCTGGGTGCTCTCCCTATGGTGGTCAAAGCCTAACCTGCGAGTGCAGCACAGCCCGCACGCCTAGCACTGCCAGGTAGAGAAACCACCTCATCGGCTCGGGTGTGTAGACACAGCTGTGCTGCCATGGCTGTCTCTATCTTCTTCAAGACCGCAGTAGATCTTTAGTGCACCACTTTTTTCTCTCCCGGGACTATTAAAAAGGCCTGTCGACTTTCTCACTTTACTCTCTTCTCCCCCCGCCCCCCCCTCATCCTCCTTCTGAGAAGATTAGGGCTGCTAATGGCAGAAACATTTGCTGGCTGCACTGAAAGGCAATTTTCACTGGATTTCAGGCACTCTGGGGACGCAGCTTTGTTCTGGAAGCTTGGAGAACAGTTTCCAAAAGCAACTTTATCTCCTCTCAGTCCCAAGAGCAGAAAAACTGTATATAAATTTAACAACCTGCATTTGTTAAAATAGCTCAACGAAACTCCGGATTCTTTTTTCTTCTTCTGCTCTTAACCAGGATTTTCTATTTCATTTATTTTCCTTTCACTGAGTATATTTTAAACTGCCTTTCTCTTCCTCTAGTTTTTGGGCGAATTATTAAGTACTGTATACTCTACTTTCTTGTATTCAAAAATTTTAGTTTATTCTATAATCTCAACTTTTTTCTTTGATTTTTCTTCATTTTTCCACTTGATTCTCTTTTCTAATGCCATTTTCTATTACAATACTGCTTAATTTAGGAAGGTTCAAGACTTAAAGTGGGAATTCACAGGCTTGCTTCCATTTTCTTCTTCCTTTACATCCCTTATCTCAAAACTAAAGACTGAAGGGTGGCGGAGGCATCTCCCTAATCACGGAGCTGGCAATAGAAAGGAAGTGATAGCCACTTGCTGTAAGAATAAGGCCAGAGCTCAACTTCCCTTTCCCCAGACGTTTCCTCTTCTTCCTTTATACCACATTTATGAGCTCTGTAAGTCCAGTTCTTGAGCCCAGTCTCAACCTCTACTAGGCGTTAAATCTGTGCCACCATCAGCACCCTATAGTCATCACTTCTGGGTCCTCTCCAACCTGACTCCCCACCAGCATGATTATCTTACCTGCAAGAATTTTGCACAGGTCAAGGACTCTCTCATCCTCTCTGAAAATGCTCAGTACAAAGCCAGATTTTACATTTTGTGCCTAGGCCAAGCCCTTGCCCGAGCCCTCCCACGAGGACACCTGAAACACTCCTTCAAAAGAACATGCACGTATGGAAATTAAATAAATGGTTGAATAAAACAGTTTGCAGAAGAGAACCACGTAACATGATACACCAGCTCCAGACTTGTTCAAAACATATATTGAAATCAAGTAGAGCTTAGCAAGCACTTGATCTTAGTAGCTACCGTATACGTACAGTGAAGCTGTAAACAATGATAATCTTCACATCTGCAATTACAAATACTTTGATATAATCAACTGTAGAGACTTAATGAAGTAATTATATTCATACTTTTGGTGCTGGAGACTCAACTCCAGGTCTCGAGAATATGCTGTACCCTCAACCCATAGCTCTACATTTTATACTCAAGATGATTTATGCTCCCCTCTCTTGGTTTTCCCCATCTTCCTGTGTGATCCTAGTTTTTACCTGTGAGGGTAAATTTCCCAGTCACTTACCCTTGAAGGCTTGGTCTCAAAGTACAAAAACTAAGGAGCATTAAGATGTAGACGGTCCATTTGCGAAAATGTGTCTTTGTGGGCCACTCCTCCAGAATTGAGCTTAGAGGGCTTTTTCAAGGTGGATTACTTCTGAATCTATGCTAATCATGATTTGTACAGAAAAGTCCTCCTTAGTAAGCTCCACATTTCAGGGCTGGGAATGTACTGCGGCTGTTGGAATGCTTGCTTGGCGTGCACGAAGCCTGAGTTTGAGCGGTAGCACTACATAAACTGGGCATGATGACCCACTCTGTGCTTGTAAACATAGTGCTTAGGAGGTAGAGGCAGGAGGATCAGAGCTGAAGATCACTTTGAGCTAGACAGAAAGTTTGAGGCCAGCCTGAGGTGCATGAGACCTTATTCAAAAGCAAAAGAAGAACAAGGAGGAGGAGGAGAAGGAGGAGGAGGAGGAGGAGGAGGAGGAGGAGGAGGAGGAGAAGGAGGAGTAGGAGGAGAAGGAGAAGAAGAAGAAGGAGAAGAAGGAGAAGAAGAAGAAGAAGAAGAAGAAGAAGAAGAAGAAAAAGAAGGAGGAGGAGGAGGAGGAGAAGGAGAAGAAGAAGAAGGAGAAGGAGAAGAAGGAGGAGGAGGAGGAGGAGGAGGAGGAGAAGGAAGAGGAGAAAAAGAAGGAGAAGGAGAAAGGAGAAGGAGAGGAGAAGGAGATGGAGAAGGAGGAGACCTCAATATACAATACCACCACCACCACCAAAGACAAGTGCAGTTCTTCCAAGTCCCATCTACAGGGGAGAAGATTAAGATGGTCCAAGTAGAGACAGGCTCTCATAATCTCTGGGATGTTTAAATGCCTCTTACAGATATTCAAAGACTGAACCAAACAAAATTATTTCTTTGCCAGATGGGCAAAAAGACCGGAGAGGTTTGGGTAAAGAATGGGTGTCCCTATTTTGATTGAGTTGGCTGTTTTAATGGCAGGTGGCATTTCCTGACAGCTGCTATGAAATTGTGCCATCAGCTGTGTTCATGATGACTATTCTTAGGCCTCAGAATTGCATAGTTAAGGATG